GGAGCGGTCTTATGGAGCAGTAATAACATTAAAAAATTAAATGTAACAAAATAAAATTAAATTTTTTTTTCTAAAAATTGAAATTTTTTAATGACAATCATCCCCCCACACGCCATACTAAGTACAAAAGAATAGATTTCGCTCCTTGCAACAAATCAATTATGGCAAATAAGCTTCTTTCAACCAATTTGGAACGATTTCTAAGACGGATTAAATCTCGCTTACGCGTTAATAGCGCGAAATATATCGCCCGTTAATTGTCCCGAAGTGGCAATCTTCAAACCCCCTTAACTTTATGAAAAATGATCACAGGTGAAATATCTTTTCAAATATGAGCTCACGACAACAATAGCTTTGGAATGATATTTAAAAATTCCGACAAAAATGGCTAGTTAAAAAGTCGAAATTTGTCTGAAGAAAAAAAACTCACCCCGAGCACAAATATTCCGTTACTTTCGTATCGAAAGTCGGAACAAAAATAAAATCAGCTCGACAGTAGAACACTGACCGTGAGCTGAATTCGCTGAAAAAATAAAACCACGCGGCGTAAATGTGAAAATACTTTATTGACTTTGACATCTAAATTTAAGTCTTCATTCAAAAAGTTAGCCTTTCGTCTAAACTGCTCAAATCAAACAATCTCTAGTTGTTAATGGTTTGAAATAATGAGAAGCATCAACGTCTTTTTTGTATGTTTTTCAACTTTCGAAATTCGAAGAAACAAATTATCGTTAGCGCTCTATCAAATTCAAGTATCTTTTTTGATTGCCACTTTTTTCAAAGAAGAGAACAAACCCAACAAGACTGTGGAGCAGTAATAACATTCTGGAGCGGTTTTATGGAGCAGTAATAACATTAAAAAATTAAATGTAACAAAATAAAATTAAATTTTTTTTTCTAAAAATTGAAATTTTTTAATGACAATCATCCCCCCACACGCCATACTAAGTACAAAAGAATAGATTTCGCTCCTTGCAACAAATCAATTATGGCAAATAAGCTTCTTTCAACCAATTTGGAACGATTTCTAAGACGGATTAAATCTCGCTTACGCGTTAATAGCGCGAAATATATCGCCCGTTAATTGTCCCGAAGTGGCAATCTTCAAACCCCCTTAACTTTATGAAAAATGATCACAGGTGAAATATCTTTTCAAATATGAGCTCACGACAACAATAGCTTTGGAATGATATTTAAAAATTCCGACAAAAATGGCTAGTTAAAAAGTCGAAATTTGTCTGAAGAAAAAAAACTCACCCCGAGCACAAATATTCCGTTACTTTCGTATCGAAAGTTGGAACAAAAATAAAGTCAGCTCGACAGTAGAACACTGACCGTGAGCTGAATTCGCTGAAAAAATAAAACCACGCGGCGTAAATGTGAAAATACTTTATTGACTTTGACATCTAAATTTAAGTCTTCATTCAAAAAGTTAGCCTTTCGTCTAAACTGCTCAAATCAAACAATCTCTAGTTGTTAATGGTTTGAAATAATGAGAAGCATCAACGTCTTTTTTGTATGTTTTTCAACTTTCGAAATTCGACGAAACAAATTATCGTTAGCGCTCTATCAAATTCAAGTATCTTTTTTGATTGCCACTTCTTTCAAAGAAGAGAACAAACCCAACAAGACTGTGGAGCAGTAAAAACATTCTGGAGCGGTCTTATGGAGCAGTAATAACATTAAAAAATTAAATGTAACAAAATAAAATTAAACTTTTTTTTCTAAAAATTGAAATTTTTTAATGACAATCATCCCCCCGCACGCCATACTAAGTACAAAAGAATAGATTTCGCTCCTTGCAACAAATCAATTATGGCAAATAAGCTTCTTTCAACCAATTTGGAACGATTTCTAAGACGGATTAAATCTCGCTTACGCTTTAATAGCGCGAAATATATCGCCCGTTAATTGTCCCGAATTGGCAATCTTCAAACCCCCATAACTTTATGAAAAATTATCACAGGTGAAATATCTTTTCAAATTTGAGCTCAGGACAACAATACCTTTGGAATGAGATTAAAAACATCCGTCAAAAATGGCTATGTAAAAGTCGAAATTTATCTGAAGAAAAAACCCACCCTGAGCACAAATATTTCGTTACTTTCGTATCGAAAGTCGGCACAATTTTTTCGTATCGAAAGTCGGAACAATAAGAGAACACTAGGAAGACAACCAATAAGAGAACACTCGAAAGTGAACCAATAAGAGAACACTCAGAAGAGAACCAATAGGAACATTTTTTTTTATTCCACTGAAAATTCTGAAAATTCTAGTCCAATTTTGAAACCAGAGATAATTTACGTGTTTTTCTCGCCATATTCAGTTTCCCGATAAGAGAGAATAAGTAAAACTCCAATTAACGAATGAATTTGAATTAAACTTCGAAAGTAATCAAAACTCAAGCAGCGAAACATAACATTTCAGCACGAACATATTCCTTTAAAAATACACTATCTAAATAAAGATCTTCATTTCAATTATTGACGCATAATAAGGAACACCAATTCACGTTATTTACTCAAGCATGCGTATTTAAGTTTTTGAATTTCTCCTGTGCAAAAACAGAAACACCAGAAATTGATACTTCAGCGTTAACCTCTCACACCAAACACTCTTTTACTAGCTCTTTCTTCAAAATTGTTTTTATACAGTTCAAATCAACACTAAATTCACTGCTGTAATATGAAACATATCTTAAATTAGCTTCAATTATATTTCAAGTAGAAAAAAAACAAGTTTTCAAAGCCTAAATAACCAATTTATGACGGTCCATTTTTGATAGTACCACTGTGAAAACTAATTGATAAAACACATATGTAGTATGATGAGCTTTTTTCCTATCAATTTTGACAGTTGAAAAAAATCGTAGAGGGTAAAAAAAACGTGGAAACGAAAGTATAAAAATACCCAAATCCAAAGTTCCTCCCGAATCCTAATTCGGACCAAATCAAATAACAAGAAAGGTAACGATTGTTTTTCAATTGACCTCTTAGAATGCAATTTTAAAGCCCTATTGCTCGTGATTCGGATTCTAAAAATTTCAAAAACATGGTCTCAGTGTTAGAAAAATTGGTCGGAAAACCTGGTCTGAGTTTTAAAAATCATATATTTTTTATTTTTGTGTAATGTAGTAGAAACATTCTGTGCTATCCTTGTTTAGCATTAAGATTTATTGATTTTAAGAAAAGAGGGAGGTCAAAAAATGTACGTCAAAATCCGATTCGAACATTTTACTCTGGTCTGAGTTACAAAAATCATATTTATTGATTTTCTTTTTTTGTTGTTTCGACAGAATTGCCGAAACATTGTACTATCCTTGTTCAGCATTAAGATTTATTCAATTTAAGAAAGGTGGGAGGTCAACAAATAAATGTCAAAATCAGATTTGAATATTTATTTCTTTTTACAACTCCAAAGCGTCGCCAGAATAGTTAAAATCGCGCATGGTAATATCATTATGCGCGGGTAACATCACATGATACCGAAAGATTTTGCAGCACTCTGAAGCAAAATTGGGCGAGTGTCAGAAAAATTAGATGGAAAACGTGCAAAAAAAGTTAGTTTATTAGTTATTTAAGAAGAAAATCAAAGCGTTCTGTAACTAATTTTTTAATAAAAGATTTCGGTGGTAGATCAGTTAACCGAGGTATCAGCAACCCGAAAACGGGCAGACCAAATCAAATAACCAAAAATGATATTACCTGATCAGCAAACCAATAATTGTGAAAAAAAGGCGTTCAGTACGCCGAAAATGTAATTATCAGTAACAAAGTAACGTTTTTCATTTGTTTAACTTGCCAGGAATTATGGGCAACATTCTTGAGGCGTTTATTCAAAGCTGAGTTATTACCTAACATGAAGCAATCGATTACTTAAATACTCAGTAATAGATACGTAATTGTTTTATACTTCGATTTACTGATATGGTAATTTACTGATATATCGATTTACTGCACGCACACCCATTATTTTACATTGAGTTCCTCACATTTTCACTCAATGCAATTTACCATTAAACAACGTGTGTGGATTATTTTAACTCTCGTCAACATGCAACGAACAGATGAGATGATTCGTCAATTTACTCCAAATTCCCATCGTTCTCCGCCGAAAAGCGTGATGGGAAACACTTACAAAGAGTGCAGTGAAAAAACACGTTCCATGACTGTGGCACTAATGGTCGGCGCAACGAATACCTTTGAATGCTAGATTTGAGTGTGAACTATCATTAAAATTGGTCAAGAGGAATATTTATGCTTGGTGTGGTTTTTTTATTCAGTCATTTTTCGGCAACCGAAATAATAGTTTTTAACAAAAAATTGTAGCTTAATGAAAATATTGACTTCCAAAGTTCAAAAATAAAAAGATATTTTACCTCCAATTACTTTTTACAAAATTCTAGGAGCTTGAAAGTTGTCAATTTGGCCATGTTCTGGACTAAATTATGCGCGCTCTGAAGAATTTATTAATAATGCCACAATGCATGAGTGGCGAATTATCTCTAGCTTCATACGAACAGTCTTGTTTCAGTTGAGACCTTTTTTGGCACACCCTAAATTGCTGTCTCTTAGAAATTACAATGACTTCAATATAGCCAGCAGGCAGTAAGAAAAGTGTCAATGAACGCAGAGAAAGGCTTTACGGCCCTAAAGCTCTTTGAACTTAATGAACAATTCGAGAACACTGCAGCAATATGTAAACTTCAACTCAATTTGAGAACACTGCAGCAATATGTAAATTTTTGGAAAACCTGAAACTTAAATCCACTTTCGAAACTAGAAGTTGATCACGTTTTTCGTGACTTTTACACTTTTGCCGTCTCATAGTAGAATTTACCTTCCTTTCAAAAAAGGAAAAAACTGAACTTAAAAAGAAATCAAAGTCAAACTTTATAACTGCACTCTTCTCTGTCTTTAGTATCAGGCAGAGCTTTCAAAACTCATCGCTGAGCTCTGTAAACACCCTAATGCTCTCCGTTACTCACCTTCAGTTGAGAATAATGAAAGAAACACTGTAAATTGAGTTAAAGTACAATTTAAAAAGATTTGGATGATACATGCCGATCATGTGAAACTAAAACTAATAAGGAAAGTTTAGTGAGCATACTAGAATGAGTTTGAACACTATAAAACATGAACTTCCACTCCGTGCATCAAACATTTTTTCACTTTTTATCAAACTGTTGCATCCGCATCAGGTCAACGTCTTCGAATAGATTAGTTCTCATCATGATGTCCACAAACTCGTTCTGCTCAATCAGACCATTTCCATTCGCATCTGCCATTTCCATCATCTGCCTAAGGTCTTTCTCGTTCAAGATCAAATCAACATCGTGGCACAGCTTCTTCAAATCGTCGATGTCGAACCCGCCCTTCTCCTGCACAAAATTAATTATTGCCAAGCTAAATAGTGGTAACTAACATAATATACCAAGTTTTGACACACTTAGAGCGCAAAAACTGGAATAGAACTATGATGCGTACCTTAGTAGCGTATTGCCTTGAAAGTTCTCGTCTAAATTCAGCAATAAATAATAAGTCTCTTACCTTTGCAGCTCTTCTTTCAATTTGATTTCAATCTTTGTAACGTCAAATTCTGATTTTAGGGAGTAAAATTGTAACACAGAGGCGAAGAAGCCGAGTTTCGCACCACTTCCGATACATAACAAGAAAAAAGAGAAAAAAAAATCCGAAAATGTCGAAAAAAAACTATACCTATCAAAATGAATACAGCTAGTTTTGAAACAAAAACATACCAACAATAGAATGTGAAATAAGCATCGGACGACAATTTACCCAGTGGCAGCAAAACCGAAAATACCTTACCCCTCACCCTAACACAAACAGTCAAAAAACTTTTTTTCTCGTCGAAATAAAACAATATGAGGCCACTAAGCCGATATAATATAGACCGAAACCTATAAGCCCAAAAAATGAAAATAAAAAAAGCCGAAACTTTATTAGACTAATAAGAAGTTATTAAGTTCCCCTCGCCCTCAAAACGCACATACAAACTAGTTTTGCTCACCGAAAGACGCATTACAAGGCAAATAAGCCGATATCATATAAGCCAAAACCTATCAAGCCGAAAAAAGGAAAAAACAAAAAAGCCGAAAAAAAAATAATTTCATGAAAAAATTGAACTACATTTTTTCAGCATTTTCTGCGACCAAAGGTGAGCATTAAAAAATGTTTCCGTTGAAACATCTTCAAAATTAGGTCACTAAGCCAATAAAAAATAAACTGAAATTATTTGGTTAGATAGAAGCTTTCAAGCGAAAAAAAATGCAATACCCTTGCTTATTGCAAGGGTAATTATCGCAAACACCATGAACTAAATTGATAGGAAGTCATTACTGAAGACAACAGAAATAAAAACTAACCTTCAAGTCGAATAGTTTCCAGTTTTGGTTCAATTCTTCGTAAACTTCGATACTGTCAGACTGGCGTGCGATTATAATGTCCAGAAAATCGTGAAATGTAGCAGTGTTGGGAACTTTGTTTTCCAAATCTTTCACGAGGCCTTCAACTTCGGCAGCGTCTATTTGGAATCCCAGTCCTCTGAGAGCCCTTCGTAAGTCCCTTGGTCCAATAGCCCCACGCGAAGCTCGGTCCATCGTGTCAAAAACGAACTTCAGCTCTCTCACTTCCGATGGCGTCAAATACTCCAATACATGTGATGGAACTTTAATGCCCATTATATCTTTCTCATGTATTTTGTTCTCTGACAGAATTGCTTTTAGCGTGTCTACACGAGTTGGCGGCGGTTTAACTTCTACATATGGAGGGATGGGATTCGGGTCTAGTCTAACCTTCTTTTCCCCTCCTCCAGACTTCTTTGCACTGTCTGCTTTCGCTTTCTTCTTACCTTTAGTTCCTTTCTTACCAGGCATTATTCAAGATTTAAGAGCTGAGCTGTTTTACAAAGAGAATAAAATGAAGCGTACACAAAACAAATTATGAAACAGCATAAGCCAAAATCAATGGTTTGAGGCTAAACATTGAAGCACATTCTAATACTGTGCGTGATTGAAAATACAGAAAATAAATGTGATTTTTGTTTTTCTTTTTTACTTCTCAATATGATAAGTCGATTTCAATCCTGTTGCTAAAAAAAATGACCTCAATTGAAATATTTGGCGACTTTTAGGTAACTTGAATTAATGTTATTCGATTGAAATTTAATTTGGAAAACTGATACGAATTCATAAGTGAAAAAATATTCACCTGCAACTATTTTTCCCAATTTTGTGACGTTTAAAATCATGAAAATTGGCAATTTGAACTAATGATTTTATTGATATGAAATTAGATGTACTAGCTGCTCATTAATGCGTAAAGCAGTTAGTAAATTTTACATTTAAAGCTCAACCCGAATTGAGCCAAGCTGATTTTTCAAGGCCCGAATTGCAACAACCAATAGTATATCTTAGAAAAATTCTGGTTAACAGAACGGTGCTTCCAACAGACTAGCGAACATGAAAGTTGCTTCTACACACAAATATGGAAAAAACAACGAAATAAATGCAACTGTAAAAAAAAAGACGCGGGAATCCACAACGCTCCTGATTTCCAAATTTGAACGATAGAAATAATTTTGACTTCTAATAGACAAATCTCCAAAACTACTGAGTTTCAGACCTCCGTAAGCAAACCCTTAAAATTGCCGACAGCATACAACTGCGCTTTCCATATTCAAAGCATGAAAAAATTTCAACTGCAAAATCATAAATGGGATTCATAATACAGCGTAATTATTTTTAAAAAAAAAACCTTTTTTCTTAATTTAACAAAAAGTTTAATGAAAAAACTTGGGAGATAATATAGGGATGAGAGGCCAAATATGCATTTGCTTTTAGTAACCTGATATAACCCCACCAAAGGGACGACACTTTCAATTTTTGAAAAGTATTTATTTCGATTTTAACTCTTTTGAAAATTTTCACAAAAGATAAACACGTCATATCTGAAAAAGGCAAAAGGCTTTGAGCAGTCATAATTGTAGTCCAGACAAACAACCTGAAAAAACCTTGAGAGCGCCTCGCTATAGTGTTGATTATTTCGAATTTGGAAATTAGGACTAAGAAAAATAGGACAAAAAAATTCTTCAGCATTGCAGTATACGATCTAGCTTAAACGTGCACAAATTCTTTCTTTAAACATGCAAAAATATTACGTTGAAAAAGTTTAAGCATGGCGAGATAGTAAATTCCGCATTTAAATATATAAATAGTGTGTAACGCACCTCCGGAGCTTCGAATTTTTGAAAACTCATAAAAAAATACGCATATAATGAAAAACGATCGGTTAAAAATTGCAAATTTTCTTTTCTATTAGTTTCTTTAATTCACATTTTGAAAAACCATTAAATTTTATGAAGTTTTTCATTTCTAATTTCTTTTTTAAATTTTAAAATAACATAAAAATGTCAGATCTTGGAAGCTAAAAGCATTTTAGCAGTCACATTTGGACGCAAAACTTGCAACTCCAGAGAGTACTCTCACAGTACCCTACTACATGGTTATGAATTTCAAATTTTGAGAAAAAACTGAAAAGCCATAAAAGAGCCACATCTCGAAAACTACAAAGATTTGAGCAGTCATATGAGGTGTAGATACTCGCAACCCCATTGAGCACTCTGAAAGCCCCGAATAAAGGGTTGGGACATTCAAATTTTAAAGAAAAAATATCACATTTAAGTTTTCTGAAAACTTTTTTAAAATTGCAAAAATTCCTATCTCGAAAACTACGAATAATTTAGCAGTCATATTTGGAGGCAAGATTTGCAACCACTGAGAATACTTCGACAGCCACCAACTCAAGAGTTGGGAATTTCAAAATTTGAAAAAACATTGAAAATAAATTTTCTGAAAACTTTTTAAGAAATAACAAAAAACGTCATATTTCGTGGACTACAAAGATTTGAGCAGTCATAATTAGAAGTGAGATTCGCAAACCTGATAGTATTCTGATAGCTCTCGAATGGTGTTGGAAATTTCAAAATTAAAAAAAATAAATTGAAGTATCCTGAAAGTTTTTTTGAAAAACTACAACAAGCGTCATATCTCGAAAACTAAAAGCATTTTAGCAGTCAATTTTGGACGCAAGGTTTGGATCTTAAATTTCTTGAAAGTACCCTCCCAGTACCCAACTGCAAGAAAAGGAATTTCAAATTTTGAGAAAAAAATTGAAAAACCATAAAAACGTCACATCTCGACAATTACAAAGACTTGAGCAGTCATATGAGGCGTAGATACTCGCAACCCCATTCAGCACTCAGACAGCCCCAAATAAAGGGTTGGGACATTCAAAATTTGAAGAAAAAATGTCAAATTTAAATTTTCTGAAAACTTTTAAAATCGCGAAAAATTCATATCTCGGAAACTATAAATAATTTAGCAGCCATATTTGAAGGCAAGATTTGCAACCACTGAGAATACTTTTACAGCCACCAACTAAATAGTTGGAAATTTTAAAATTTGAAATTAAATTTTCTGAATTTTTTTAAAGAAATATTAAATACGTCATATGTCGCGAACTACAAAGATTTGAGCATTCATAATTGGAAGTGAGATTCGCAAACCCGATAGTATTCTCATAGCTCTCAGATAGTGTTGGAAATTTTAAAATTAAAAAATATATATTTAAGTATCCTGAAATTTTTTTTGAAAAACTACAACAAACGTCATATCTCGAAAACTAAGAGCATTTTAGCAGTCGATTTTAAACGCAAGGTTTGGAGCTTAAAATTCTTGAAAATACCCTCATGGTACCCAACTACAAGACAAGGAACTTCAAATTTTGAGAAAAAAACTGAAAAACCAATTTTTTTCCAAGTTCTTTGAAAAGTTTTAAAATTTCATGAAAAAAAACGTCACATATTGCAAACTAAAAGCATTTGAGCAGTCGCATTCAGACGCCAACAATGCAACTCTTGAGTTTACTCTCACTATACCCAACTACAGGGTTAGGAATTCCAAAACTTGAGAAAAAAACTGAAAAACCATATAATAGATAGTAGATAATAGATTGCAGTTTTTCATCAAGTTATCCTTATCTATGAAATTGTAGAAATTCATAATAAACAAATTCTTTTGTTACACATACAAAAAAATACGTTGAAAAAGCTTAAACATTGCGAGATAGTGAAGTTCGCATTTACATACATAGATTTTTGTGTAATTTTTAAAGATAAGTTTAATGGAAATCTTCTATAAGAGAAACACAAATAAACTTCGTATCTCCTTAACTAAAAATATTTGTGTACTCATATTTGGAGGCCCAATTTTCAAGCACTAGAATTATCCTGACAGCATCCCACTTTTGGGTTTCTAGTTTTAATCTTGGCAAAAAAAAACTGATTTTATGCTGGAAAATCAAAAAAATCTTAAGCATTGCAATATACGATATAGCTTAGCCGTGCACAAATTCTTTCGTTAAGCATGCAAACATAATACGTTGAAGAAGCTTAAATATGGGGAGGTAGTGAAGCCCGCATTTAAATATATGATAGATAGATAGATAAAAAGAAAGCAGATTTTCATTATAACGTCTTAATCTATGTAATCGCATAAATTCATAGCATGCAAATTTTTTCGTAAAACATGCTAAAATAATACGTTGAAAAAACTTAAACATGGCGAGAAAGTGAAGCCCGCATTTAAATATTTAATGTATTTTTAAGGAATTTTTAAATCTAAGTTTGATGAAAAATTTTGAAAAAAAATCACAAAAAAACTTCGTATCTCGTAAACTAACAATAAATCTGTATTCATATTTGGGGGCCCAATTTGCAAGCACAAAGTTAATTCTGACAGCATCCCACTTGTGGGTTTCTAGTTTCAATCCTGGCAACAAAAACCTGAATATAAGCTGCAAAATCAAAAAAATTCTTAAGCATTGCAATATACGATATAGCTTAAACATGCACGAATTCTTTCGTTAATCATGCAAAAATAATACGTTGAAAAAGCTTAAGCATGGCGAGATAGTGAAGCCCGCATTTAAATATATGATAGATTTAGATAGATAAATAATAATTGCAGTTTCTCATCATAACGTCTTAATCTATTTAATCGCACAAATTCATAACACGTAAATATATTCAGTCGATTTTGCTCCCAATGAAATCATAAATATTTGTAATGCCCAAGCCACTTTGAAAATCTATTTGCGACTGACCTGAGCTAATGATTTAACATTGTTTGCAAATAGCAAGGATGTTGGATTTTTATAGAACTCTGGTTAACATAGGGCCCAATATGCTACCATGAGGCAATCGATATTGAACCATTTCCGTCGAAGACATTTGCCCACTTATCCATAAAATCTGTTGCCTGTTGGTCAGATATGGGTCTGGGACAACAAGCCGACGAGACTTCAAGCCTCAAACACCTCAAATCATTATTTTTTCATCTGTAAAACGTTGCTTGTCAAACTCGTAGGCTATTTTACTCCATAATAAGCGTTGATTATGACAATGAATCACTTGGGATTGGCATCCGTTAAAAATATCAGCCGGTTTTTGAAATGCATAAATTATAAACAAGAAAATTACCTTCAACAGTGTTTTATTTTTCAACTTTCCTAAACATCATTTGGAGGCTTAATATTGATGAAAACGCTAATAAGTACCGAATAAAGATCATGAAATTGAGAAATTCTTCAAAAAAATTTCAAATTAATCATATTTAATGATTTAGAGAGAAAATTTTTGGCTTGAAGTCCCTAATTTTACGATTTGGCTTGAAGTCCCGTCGGCTTGATGTCCGGCACCCGTCAGATATGACTCAAATAGTAACACATAATGGCGCAGCCTAGCTCTGCACCACTTGAGGTACAACACAAACAAACGTCAAAAATTAAAATGTTGAAAAAAACTGTGTTAACAAAAATTTTCGTATGTGTAGATAAAACAAATAACTAGGGGCCCAAGCTAAAGATGGAAGGTATGCGTTTGATATTGAAAGAATTTGCTATACTGATGAGACACGAAACTGTGCTTTCAAAAATTGGATTTGGCCCAAAGCTTTATAAACCGTATCTTTTTCTCTACAGAAGAAGTGAGAAGAGTATAAAAATTTTAGAGATAATCAAATTTCCTAAAAATATAACATTTCTCGTACATAAATTTTCTTTTTCTTTCTTTTCTCTATTTTTTCTTTTTTTTTATTATGTTTTTTCTTCATTCTTATTTTCTTCTTAAATGTAATCAGAAGGTCAAAAGTATCATAGTAACCGAGGTTACAGTCATGAGTCCCTTCATCATGTATTCAAGTCAAAATCCTTGGAATTTTCTAGATATGGAAGTGATAATGATAAAAGAAGATGACAAGTGTTTAAATCCTTTTCAATTAAAATTGATACGGGTGTAACATTCGCCGGGAAGATACATATCGACGGATAACAAAACTAAGTCTTAAGACGACTGGCTAGCGTCTAAACAGAGCTTTGCATGTTTTTCGCCGTCTCTACCAAGCCAGTACTTTTCGGTGGTCTTTCTTACATCGGGTCGACAAAAACGTTACTGTTCTCCGGCTTCGACCAGAACGCTCAAATTAACTGAATTACATGCAGAAATAGTGAGCTCATGGCTGGGTCTCAGTATCCCCAGACCACGAGGTCACTCCTAAAAACAGGGCTACTACTTAATATATTACTATTGTTTTTGTTCAGTAGATAAAAATCATCATCTCCATCGAAGATGGATCAACCCTTTCCCCCCAACTCTTAGCACCTCATCCTTGTCAAAACTAATCCAAATATCAATTAAATTCAAGTCAGGACATGACAGGATGCTAAAAGTTCATATGAGTCAATAAAAGTTTTCCGTCCCGAGACCCTTCCGGATTCTTGAATCCGGTGAATCAAGCTCCTTAAGTTCGATTTCACGACAACACGGAAGGCTGGTTTCTTACCCTTCACCGTTGTTCGCAACGGCCTTGCAACTATTGTAGCAGCACAATAGTTGCAACTCGGAACGTTCTCTGTAATTCGTTGTCGTTTTCTTCAATTTCGACTTCTTCAATTTCGATAAAGTTGTTCTCGTCAGCGCAACTAATGTTGTTGTGTTTTTTCACTCGTTTTCTGTTAAAATGGCCGTTTCAGCGTTTCTCAGAAATGTGACGTCATCATTCGAATTTTTGAAATTTTAAAATACTAGAATATTCCAGCCCTCACCGTTTGGCTAAACGTTCCAATAACGCTCTTAGTTCTTAAAAACCACCAATCCGGAAGGCTTGCTGCTAAAATTCCGAATTCTGCAGAGATTGCATTTTTCACATTCTGGTCGAATGTCACATACTCCCCGGACAGTCCGGTCAATGTCCTCATTGAATCGCGCAATGTTCACAAAATGGTTACAGTGCCATCGAACAGAATTTACAAAATGCACGAAATTACTTTTATCCACGTCATATCAACTCACTGCAGAATACAAATGGCATCATACTACATCACTATAGCCTTCAAATTCTCTCATTAACCTGCACTCTGAGGATATGACTTAAGATAAAACATTTTTTCTGACTTCCAGTGTCAATGTCCCGATTAAAACTTCTTCTCTTATATTTAAAAGGTGTTGGCTTGCAGGACAGTCCTGCCAACCAACAAGCTAAAATTATCCTACTACGCTCCTTCCCTTCGGAAATCTTGCTTGTTTATTGTCCTGAATATTAAAACTAAGAAACTTTGTGGTTAGAAAGAACAATGCAAGAACCTCCCTCTTCAAGAGATTACTCAAGCCTTCCACGTCACCACAAAGTGATCAATCTTCCTAAGTGATTAAAAACAATCATGCAGGCTGGAATATTTAAATATACTCCTCCCTTAAGCCTTTCTAAATAAATAATAAGTGTCTCTAAAGCCACTTCTGTTAAAATCAAAATGCAAATTTATAAATGCAACAATTTCAAAACTCAACTAAATGTTTCAGTTTTCAATTGCAACTTGGTTGCTTGGTTTCTCACTTGAGTTTTTCACACACACAAAACAATTCTGAGTTTTGACTTTTCTTCATCATCCCTTTGTTCTCTTCTTTTTCGTCGTTTAGAAGTTCTAAAACTTCTAAATTCTTCTAATTTTCTTTCTTGCTGCCTCTTGTTTTCTCGACCATTCGTCAATGCTCCATTTCCTCCTCCTGTGACACTGACTCCGCACTTTCGGTTTCTGTGTCTTGTAGCACGTCATTGACTATCCTGACGCTGTTGGAAGCCGTCCTCCAACACTTCTGCTCTTCCACCCTCTGTTTACAGCAAGGTAGGGGATCCACGTTTGATTCTCTGTTTCTACAGAAGCTGTTGTGGAGACACAACGTCACGTTTCTCTCCAAATCTTCTTTCAGCATCTCTGCCTTCTCATTTCCACTACGCTCGCTCGTCCTGGAAATTCTTTTCACAGCGGTGGTCACTGCATTCCGATGGGTCACTAAAGCTCGCTTGAAAGCTCCTGCCCCAATGTCCAGCTGATATTCACTGTATACTCTGCCATGCTTCGACATATGCTTTTTCGCATACTCGTACAACCATGCAGTCATGTTAGCTCTGAACCATGGCATCAATCGTTTTCTTGCCCATATCTTCCTCACTTCCATCGGAATGTTTAGAACTTTGCACATTGTCTCAAAAAGATCTAAATCTTTTAGACAATCTAATTTCCGCAATTGTTCTCTCGTCGGTGCCTCCTGTCTATTATTTTCTCTCACATGAGCTTCCAGCCATCGTATTGCCATCATAACTCCCACTATCACTATTGTTACGGGCTGTGATGAATCTGGTAAACCCATGGAGAGCAGCTCTCCAGAGTCCCAGATCAACATCAGATTACTACGCTTGGGATACCACCAGGTCTGCAGCAAGCAGTGGCAAGGAAACTCATCATGCGTCAACATGATGCTCCTCCAATTACGTTTTCCCGAAGCTTCCAGCAATGGTTCCACTTCCATCATCACTCGGTGGATTTCATCATTCTCATCTACTGTATTGTAATCTGTGACAGTTGATCCTCCCTGTTTCTGTTTTTCGAAGTCACTGAAGTTCCCGCTCACATATCCCATGAACTTCTTTCCTAGTATTGACTCCAACTCTTCTTTGGTTCTCTC